GAATCTATATTTTTTGAGTGTAACTTGACAGAGTCTATACAACTTTGTAAATTCAAGAATTATAGTGATTATCAACAATCAATGAATTAAAAAGAAAATTAGACATCATATAAATGTGAATGAGCTTGTTTTAGTACAAACAGTCAAACCTCGTTATCTTGAACTTCATTGAACCAAGAAAATACTTTGAGATATCCGAGGATTCGAGATACCCAGGGTAAAATACTTAAGAAACAAGCACTTGGGACTTCAAAATTACTTCGACATATCCATGGTATTCGGGATATCCATGTTCGAGATACCAAAGTTCAACTGTATATTTTGTCATATTCACATTTTCAAATTCCATAACATCCTTCCATTTCAATAGGTATGATATCATTAAAAAAATCAGAATTTTCTTTCACTTTCTTTATTTTGTCCAATTGTTTTCCAGATTACCAGTACAATTTAACTGATTAGAAGAAAGAAAAAGCATCATAATGATATGCATGAACAATACAAGGATAGTACCTGTATAATCACATTATTCTTAGTAATGCTAGAATTTTAAAACTGAGATCATAATTTGAAACAGAAGGCCCATCGGCCAAATTGCTCACCCTAGCACTGTGGCTAGGAAAAAAGCAAAAATCAGTATTGAAAAGTTTAAATGCATAAGTGGTCGTGACCAACACCTAAAAGAGGAGTATGACTTGAACAAAAAGTAAGGATGCTTACATATTTCTCTGATTAACTGTGCAGCACCTGAAGCAAGTCCAGTAAATTGCATCCTTAGTTGTATCATCCATGCAGGTTTGATCAACATAGGGCTTTAACCTGGTCACTCATCTGGAAAATTTTGTTCATATCCAGCATCTGAAGCAAGCCTGGTAGTGTGCATCCTTAGTTGAATCATCCAAGCAAGTTTGGTCAATATATGGCTTATACATGTACTGTATACAGAAAGATTTGCGTTTGTTTTATTTTTGCCCCTTTCACCCTAGACACAACTCGCCGAATTTAAGACAGGGCAAACTCAAAGACTACAGAATAATTTCTTAAACAGAACCTTGACTGGGCAAAAGAAAGAGCAAAAATAACACGAAGGGGGGGGGGGGGGGAATAACCCTATGATATATAATACTTACTTGGAAATGAGACGTGCTCCAAAAACTTTAACCAGCTCCAAAAGCATTAACCTTGTCATTCTTAAGCTGAAAACCTTGACAAGTACAATGAAACATACTAGAAGTATCGTCCATGTATATCTGATTAATTAAGGGCATAGGGGTACTGAAAAGAAATCGGCTCCAAAAAATTTAACCTGGGACGCTGACACTGAGGGTTTTTGTTTGTTGTTTAACATCCCTCTCGAGGATATTTCACTCATATGGAGACGTCACCAATTGCCGGTGGAGAGCTGTTTTTGACCTATACTCAACACTCATGATCAGAGCCATTGAGCAGTGAGGGATCTTTTTCGTGCCAGCACGGTCTACTCATCTGTTGTAAGATCAGCATTTTCATTTTTTTTAAATTTTAAAATTCATTGGTACATTTTGTGTTGCACATATACCTTATTATGCACTCTTGTGTGGGAAAAATGGATGACATTGCATGTGCACTACATTATGATATAGAACAAGTTTAGAGATTGTTAACTTGAATTTCGTCTCAAATTTAACACATATTTTGACCTGACTCAAGATCTGTGATAAAGACTTGTATGTGATATCATGTTGAAAAGTCTATAGTATGAATTGCAGTACCAGAAATTATATTATAAATGAAGAAGAAAATAAAGGAGATAACAAATTTCTAATAAATAATGAATTACTGAAGACTCATAGATTTTGGAAAAAAGGCCCAACCTACCCCCAGGGTCATGATTTGAACAAATTTGAATCTATACTATGTACCTGAGGATGCTTCCATATCAATGTGACTATTTCCCTATATATTCCTATGTAAAACTTTTGATCCCCTTTTGTAGCCCCACCCTACCCTCGGGGGTCATGATTTGAACAAATTTAAATCTACACTATGTAATGAAGCATTCACACAAGTTCCAACTTTTTTTGCCCAATGGTTCTTGAGAAAAAGATTTTATGCAACCAAATTTACACTAATTCTTAATTATCTTCCCTTGAAAGAGGGCATGGCCCTTCATTTGAACAAACTTGAATCTCCTTCATCCAAGGATCCTTTGTGCAAGTTTAATTGAAATTGGCCCATATGGTTCTTGAGAAGTTCAAAATGTGAAAAATTTACAGATAAACAGCTAGACAGATAAACAGCTAAGACAGACTGACAACAGACAAAATGTGATCAGAAAAGATCACTTGAACTTTCAGCTCAGGTGAGCTAAAAATAAACACTAACTAGCATTTCCATCTTGATGCAGGCCCTAACTGATTGTAGGAATTAACTTTTGGGATATCATAAGTAATGTTTTACATGTACTATGTATTATTACACAAAAAACTTCTCCTCTGCTTTCAAGGGCTTGGAACCTTCTGCTTGAAAAAACACAAATTCTATAAATGCTGGGAAGCAATGTTTTTTTTTCAAGCAGGCAGCATTAAAAGTTTTGTGCTATTTTTCTTTCTTTTTAGTGCTTTTCTTTTTTGGTTTCTTCTTGTTTTTTTTCTTTCTTTTTTTTTTCTTTCATTTTTCCTTTTTCCTTTCATGTTTTTTTTCTTTTTGTTTCTTTTTTTGTTTTTTTTTTGTTTGTTTTTCTTTTTTCGTGCAAAACTTTGGCCAATGATATCAGACAATTTAACATTACACTAGTCACAATTCATTGTTCACTGTCACAATTTTTAAAACATTTACTTCTAACATTTACATGTACTATCACTGCATAACTAGTCACAATTCATTGTTCGATGTACAATTTAACATTTACTATTACAATTAACATTCACATGTACTCTCTCTGCAGAATTATAATTAGTCACATCAACACATGCTGATATACATTCAATAACACAATAAATCCTTAGTCACCTTTAACCACCTTATTACAATAGCTTAAGTAAATGTGTACACACTACGGTAATCACAATTTAACATTTACTATCACTTTATATCCACAGTCACACCAATAATACATTGCATGTATATTCATTTGAACAATAAATTCATTAAGCCGATCATCGTAAACTATACATACTAACTACAAAAAGCTAAATAAATCTGTACATGCTATTTAACATTTACAATCTATAGTCACCTCAGTAATGCACATTGTATATATATTCAATTACACAATAAATTCATAGTCACTATATCCACCCTCACTTTTTAATAAGTAGTTGTACATTCCAGGAATAATAATATGATACATGTATATAAAATCACTTCTTCTGTAACATTTACACATAATTTTTTTGATGTTGGATAGAATAAAAAGAAAGATTTTTGAAAGACAAAGCAGCCTACAACTAGTCGCGTTTTCAACCTCTCCTCCCCAGGCCAGCCTGGCAACCGTAGCGGCGAAGGACCCATAAAGTTCCAACCAGTAATGCCCCAGGATATCGACAAGGTCTACTTACAACTAGCCTTCAACTACTTCATCTAAACAATTTTATAATGTATTAGATGCTAACATGAAATAACATTATAGCAAAATAATGATAGATGATAAAAGATATCTACATAAAATAATAAAAATAGCACAATTATCTCTTTGACATAGAGAAAAAGAAGGGGGTCAGTGTGGGAGGAAACCGGAGCACCCGGAGAAAACCCACGTGTCAGAGTGGGTGACCCCATACCCTCTTACAACTCAGACACCCATTTCCAAAACAAATGTCTCAAAAAAATATGTTCTGGATAATAACAAATTATAACATTGTAAACTGAATGTGCTTGTGTGTGCTTCACAGATCTGGCTTTCTGCATTGTCATCTTTCTTTGTCTTTTTCCAAACATGATCACAAGGATATGCCTCTTCAATACTTTTATTTTCTGTCAATGAATAAGAAAAAAAGGTAACCATTAGGACTGATGAAGTAGAAAGGAAGAACAGAGTCCTACAGAATGGCATACTTGGGTACTTATTCTCATACCTGAGGCTCCTTGTCATTCATAATGTCAAGCACATCCACATGACTTTATCTAAGTCTCCTACAGGGTACTGTCACCAAATCATCAAAGCACACTGTAAAATAGATGTTAATTATTATACTTCAGCATCTAAATAAGTATAAACAGAAATTAAGAAAAGAACAGACATATCTTAGCAAAATATTATATATCTCTAACATAATGTTCTTCTGCTGTACTTTGTCAAAAAAGATCCTGGATTATTAATAATGTCACATACCTATCAGTGACAGTTATCCACTGTGGTAAGTCCTGCTGTTGGGAAGGTCATCATCCATCAGTCTTGACTTTTCAAAGTATTTCCACCAATTCCTGTCTAGCTGTAGCTGCTCATTTTAACATCTTGAAGGGTCAACATCCATCAGTCTTGCATTTTCTAGGTTTTCCACCAATTCCTGTCTGGCTATAGCTGCCCATTTCCACATCTTAAAGGGTCAAAGTCTATCAATCTTGTATTTTCTAGTCGTTTCCACCAATTCCAGTTGGAATGCACTACTTTTTTTCTGCATCTTGAAGTACATTTATCAGTCTTGCTTCTTCTAGTTTTTTCCCCATTCATTCGTCTGGCTGCGGCTTCTTATATCCACATCTTCGAGGGTCAATATCCATCAGCATTGCATTTTCCAGTTGCTCCCACCAATTCCTGTAGGTTGTAAATGCTCTACTCCACATTGTTGAAGAAAACTTTACCAACACCATCCTTGCAAGTCTCCTCTTCAACCTGTCAGATGCAAGTGTCTTAAGTTAATCACTTTTCAGAAAAGAAGTGAAAGGAGTAATGGTTACTGACTTCTTTAGTTTCTGTTTTTAAAAAACGAAAAAAGGTAATAATCGGGTCCAATGAAGTAAAAATGAGAAACCAAAGGTCATAGAGAATGGCCTGCTAAGGGTAACTTTCACATACCTGAGGGTTCCTTGTCATTCATGTCAAGCACATCCACATGACTTCATCTGAGTCTCCTACTGGGTACTGTCACCAAATCATCAAAGCACACTATTAAATAGAAGTTAATATACATCTATCAGTAAATTAAGAAAAGAACAAACATATCTAAATAATATAGTTCAAGGATCAAATATTCTTTTGCTGTACTTTTCCAAAAATGATCATTGATTATGTCACATACCTGATCAGTGACAGTTATCTACTTTGATATGTCTTGCTGTTGGGAAGGTCAGTGTCCATCAGTCTCTTCTTTTCCAGTTGTTTCCACGAATTCCTGTCTGGCTGTAGTGGCTCATTTCCACATCCTGGAGGGTCAATGTCCATCAGTCTTGTCTTTTCCACTTGTTTCCACCAATTCCTGTCTGGCTGTAGCTGCTCATTTCCACATCCTGGAGGGTCAATGTCCATCAGTCTTGTCTTTTCCACTTGTTTCCACCAATTCCTGTCTGGCTGTAGCTGCTCATTTCCACATCCTGGAGAGTCAATGTCCATCAGTCTTGTCTTTTCCACTTGTTTCCACCAATTCCTGTCTGGCTGTAGCTGCTCATTTCCACATCCTGGAGGGTCGATGTCCATCAGTCTTGTCTTTTCCACTTGTTTCCACCAATTCCTGTCTGGCTGTAGCTGCTTATTTCCACATCCTGGAGAGTCAATGTCCATCAGTCTTGTCTTTTCCACTTGTTTCCACCAATTCCTGTCTGGCTGTAGCTGCTTATTTCCACATCCTGGAGGGTCAATGTCCATCAGTCTTGTGATAAGAAATAAGACATAAGGATACTTCTACTTTAATAAACTATTAAATAACTGACAGAGTAGAGTGGTTCTCATTAATCCCAAAAGTTCAACGTTATCAGCTTTACTCTAAATTTTTAGCTTTTAATCACATGTAGCTTGTATTCCTCTGTTTTAAAAAGTGTTGGGAGCTGGTTGTGTGCTTCATTCTGCAATTTAATATATCTTCAAAGCATACTTTGCTTTTTTCTCTATTTTATAAAAAGATGGCTAAATTTGTCATAGTTCCCAAATATGAGAAACTTTCTCCCAGCACATGACGGAATTTGTCTCAACGAAAATGGTCAATTTCGAAATAAAAAATGTATTCATATCTCAGTGAAATTTTCACAATTTTTGTAGCTGTACGTATATTTTCTAATTTTAACCTAGTTGTCATGTGACAAACAGATCATATAATCAGTGATGTCACTTTGGCCAAACTCAGAAGAGAACCCTATATACTTGTACAGATAGCAGAATTTCCATTCCACAAAATTAAACTGATTATTTTTTATTTTGAATATTGAATTTTTTTTATGGAATATATGATAATGCATACTTCCTATGAGTGTCCTTAGCCTAGCTGTGGTCTGTGTGGTCAACCTTCATCAATCTTGCCTTCTCCAGTTGTTTCCACCAATTCCCATCTGGCTCACAGTAGCTGCTCATTTCCACATCCTGGAGGGTCAACATCAGTCAGTCATGCTTAGCTATGTAAAGGAAATCAATGGAAAATATTATCTTAACATGTTTTTAATATGTATTACATTTAATAATCACTGTAAAAATGGTAACTATAAAATTGTAGGAAAGGTAATATAGTCATCAGTAATGAATAGGTTCATGTTGTACAATTTACAATGTATATATCAGCTGCGTGTCACATGACTGGTGTAAAAATAGAATTATTAGGCTGAATGTAGAAAAAGACGCTAGTGCATGGGCATCCGGTTGTTTTTTGCCATAAAAATTGATACACATTAAAATTTACATCCCTTGCCTGAGAAGTACTGGGAACTAGTTTGTGCTGTTTGGGAAGTCCTCACATTTTGCCAAGAATGTATGAAATAGCAAAAAATTTCCACTTCACCATCACATCATAAAGAATTTAAAAAATATTCCTCAAACCAGAATCAACTCCCAGCACTTTTTAGATTTACATGATATAAGCAATTAATATTCCGCATTTCAGCTTAAACAGTCTCAAACAGTCTAGTGTATGCCCTTCCACTTTTCAGGTTTATTGGGAATATGCTTATAGGATTTGTGATTTTCTTTACATTATCTGACGCCGTGCTGCTAGATAAGATCCTGATAAATTATTTACACAGTTGTTCTTAAGAAAAGTTTTGTTTTCAGTTTTATTGATTAGACTGAAAATTTGATGACGATTTTGTATTTAATTATTTTTGAAATTATTAAACAAAGGGATCCACTCCTCTGGATCACTTGTACTGTGTCAAGTCAAGGCAAATGACATCGTATATGACACAAGATTTGTTTCTAAATACTCAGCAGTATTGTTATCAAATGGTGAGATTTCTGATTTTTAAATAGATAATGGATAAAACAAATGCATGCAACCTTTTATTTACATATCATCTTGTTAATTTATTTTTGCTACTTATTTAATTTTCAATGATGACACAATGATACTTTAAGTACGCCGTGCCTCACAAATGTGGACTCACATTAAGCAATGTTGTCCAAAAGCAATAGAAATAGGATGATCAGGGATCAGCAAAATTCAGTAAAAATTCTTAAAGTAGATCTATTTATTTGCCTGTACATGTACTTGTACTTGCCCCCAAGTCACTATCACCATTTTGACTAAAGAAAAAAGTTCTTAAGCACTATTTGAAAACCAATCTCATCCTCTACCTGATCATTAAACATAGGTAATCAGAGATTACAGAGCTCACCTCAACGAATGTTGTCTTTAAGTAAGGCAAAGTCCCACACTAAACTAATAATCTTGGAGTGTGCATCCCTAAATGCAACATTTATGCAGTTTTGGTCTGATAGGGCTTGCAGTTACTTGGAAATAGACTTATCTGAAAGCTTATAACTAGTCACTCATCCAGAAAATATAAGTCAAATCCAGCATCCGAAGCAAGTTTGAGATTGTTCGTCCCTTGATGCATCATCCATGCAAGTTTGCTTCAGATAGGCCTGATAGTTACTTGGAAATGAGATCTGCTCCAAAAACTTTAACCTGGTTACTCATCCGGAAAATGTAGGTCAGATCCAGCATCCGAAGCAAGTTCAGTAGTGTGCATTCTTAGATGTATCATCCATGCAAGTTTGGTCAATATAAGGCTTATAGTTACCTGGAAATCAGATCTGCTCCAAAAACTTTAACCAGGTCACTCATCTGGAAAATATAGGTCAGATCCAGCATCCGAAGCAAGTTCAGTAGTGTGCATTCTTAGATGTATCATCCATGTAAGTTTGATCAATATAGGGCTTATAGTTACTTGGAAATCAGATCTGCTCCAAAAACTTTAACCAGGTCACTCATCCGGAAAATATAGGTCAGATCCAGCATCCAAGCAAGTCCAGTAGTGTGCATCCTTAGATGTATCATCCAGGCAAGTTTGGTCAATATAGGTCTTATAGTTACTTGGAAATGAGATCTGCTCCAAAAACTTTAACCTAGTCACTCATCCAGAAAATGTAGGTCAGATCCAGCATCCGAAGCAAGTTCAGTAGTGTGCATCCTTAGATGTATCATCCATGCAAGTTTGGTCAATATAGGTCTTATAGTTACTTGGAAATGAGACCTGCTCCAAAAACTTTAACCTGCTCCAAAAACATTAACCTGGTCATTCTTTAGCTGAAATTGCAGCATCTAAAACCTTGACTGGTACAATGAAACACACTAGAAGCATCCTCCATGCATCTCTGACTAATATAGGCCACAGAAGTACTTGAAAAGAAAACTGCTCTAAAAACCTTAACCTGGGACGCCGACGCCTAGGGTATTACATAAGGCCCCCCAACTTCGTTGAGGTGAGCTAAAAATGATGAAAGTACTTTTTGGATTATTTATCATAAAAATTCTTTTATAATTATCTTATTCAATTGATCTTTCAATGACATTATCTACAGTGATAACTTATCATACAGTACGGGCAACGCCGATTATGCATTTAACCGTGCTCCCCCCGTGGTGTGTTAACCTTTCCGCGATACACCCCCATGGTTAGTTCATCGCGGTCTTACCTGTAGCCAGGTCAATAGATGGAAAAGTTAAATATTCTGAAACACGTTTAGGCAATGTATAGTAAATCTCTCTCTCTCTCTCTCTCTCTCTCTCTCTCTCTCTCTTTGTCTCTCATATTAAGTATCATGGCATTTTTTTTTATCGGCAAAGTTCAATTTGAACTTTCTGCTTGAACGCATTACCCAGGTAACTACATGTAAGTCACCGTGGTCATCAGAAGCCGTGTGTTAGCAGAAAACACTGGATAGTACAAATATTGTTAAACAGTTTTACTTAGTTCTCAATGTGCAAATAAAATAAAAGAAGGATTGTGCTTTCCCCATAGTATAAACTAGTATACAGATAAAATGGGGTGCTTTGTTTCATTATTTGTTAAAAATAAAAGTTCATTCCGTTGTGCATAATTTATTGACTTTTTCCTATGTATAAGAATTAGTATTATTTCTACCCTAGAGGCATTCACACCTCTGTGGCTTCGGGTACCTTGTCATCATATGGGATCAACTACACAATAAAATAGCTTCCCGTAATTTTGGGGGTACGTGTAGGATAGCCCTTAGCATTAACATCCCAACATCTTGTTTTTATATACAGAGAAATTCATTCAAATTCATTAAGATCAGACATATGTGATGTGAATCCGACTGTAGTTTTATCAAAACATACAACCTTAAGTTTAAAAAAATAATATGAAGTTCAGACATCAGTGAGGAATTCGGGGGGTGGGGGGGGGGGGGGTCAGAAATCATAATCCTCCCAGTCTATGATTTTATATTTACAACTGTCAGTATGTTGCAAAAATAAATAGTCTTAATCCAAAGCCTTTGTCTTTCACAAAGGTGTGAAATTATATCCAACAAAGTGACAGGAAATCCCTCTCTGCTTGAACGTGCACAATACACAGTTACTAAGGAGACCAAGATTAGTCCATGCAGCTACAGGTACACTGTGTATACATGTACCAGATCTACCGAGGACAAAATAGGTTTACTAACCAATGCTAACTGCACACAGTTCCGATATTGTTTTGGTGGAACTATATGAATTGCTTTTCAGTAAATTCTTGCTTACACGGCGTACAAGCATTTTGTTCTAATAGATTTTACTTTATGCTTGAGTAAAAACTTTGCCCCCCTCCCCCCCACTTTTGGGGGGTTGAAATTGAATACATTAATACAATATTTTCACAATCAATTTGGCTTATAGCTATCGGTATTGGGAAGTAAACTCTTATTCAAAGTTGTGACGGTACTAGTGGTGTTCCAATCATCAATTATAAATGAAAATCAGTCGATTGCTGGCATACTCCAAGCGTTCGATTACGAATTTTTTATTCCCATCAATCGGGTAATTTATTTTATTTTACAAATGTAATAGTTTTTAAGCTGAATATTCCAGCTGCGACTTATCTATTAACTTATTTGTGGTGGCAGAGGATAGTTTTTTTTAATGCCAAACATGTGCCGAGGGGGTACACATATACATGCGATCCATAAAAACATGTACATGGGGACAGTTTTCCAGGGGCTAATTAATTATGCTTCATATGCCCATGGCTCACAAATTATGTCAACAAAGTACATGTAATCTGCCTATTAGAGTGAACATGTACCAAAATTGCACCTGGGGACTCCCCAAATTTTGGCTTGTTTTTCCAAGATTTGGGCCTCAGTCGCACCCATACAACCCACCCCCAGGCCCAAGCGAGCAGGATAAAACACCCAGTAGTCTGTAAATCAATGCATGCCCTAATGAAAATTCAGCAATTGACATGGGGCCATTCACCTTCCCTCTGAGATACACACCTTCTTCTAAGGCCTACTGCTTTTCAGCTGAATTTCCTCTGCAACTGACCACGTCTTAGTTTTGCATTTACAACTCTATATATGATAAGCATCATAGTGACACCTACATGTTGCACATCATTTTTTTCAGGAAGCACTCTGCTACATTGCGAATGTGTCCCATAATTATTCTAGTCATTTTTCTACATAAAATATCACATCAAACAGGGGATATCTCAGTTTTTTAAGAAATTTGACCGGGTCTTTAGTACGAAACTGTGCATAGTAATGGCGCAGACGAACAGACATTGTGGTATTCATACCCGGGTAACAACGCTCATTCCCGGGTATGGATGTACTTTGGATTCTACAAAATGAACTATGAACCAGCTAGACTAGATACAACGTTCTGTTGTTAAAATCAGTTAGATTATTCTAACTACAGCTGGACCACCCAGAAAGTAGTTATTCACCCAGACTTTGTAAAATGTCCGATTATAATTGATGATTAGTTAGTTACAGTAGCCTGATCATTGATTATGAAATTCTTACCGATTCCCATCACTAGACGGTACCAAAACAGTGAAAGTTTTGTGTAAGACAAATTAATAGTGTCACTGTAGATTGGGAGGGTGTTATTTGTGGAGATGGAAGTTACATCGAAATTAACTTTTTAAATGCAAGTCATCTGCATATCGTAAAATTTAAAAATTAATTACAACTACATGTACATGTATGTATAAAATAATATTTTCATGTTTTCCTTTTTTTTCGTAGGAACAGTTTCTTGTATATATTCCAGTGCATTAACATTATGAGTGTCCAACAGAGGCACTTTGGGCATATTGTGTACATGGTGTAGGGGATCACACTTGTACAGTATACAGGTGTGAGGACCAAGTATGAGTACCAGGTCAAGCTCTAGGCATTACGTAATTTTACATATCTTCTACGGACTCGTGGGCAATCAAATTACGCACACACAATATCCCATTCCTTCTGATTTCAAGAACTACGCCCGAAATAGATAGGAATGACGTTTCACAGACGACTCCGAGAATGATAATTACACCCAAAATCTTCTGCTTATTTTAATCTTATATTGGAATTTTAATAATTAAAAAAAAATCATTCATAGTCCCTCCCCCCTTTCCAATAAAATTGAAACTGCGATAGATGCATTCTTTAATCAAATCCCCTAAAAAAAAAAATATCTAAAATTTACAAAACACACTAAGAAAATATTAATTAATATCGAATATCATGCATAGCATATTGGGTATATTACCTTGCATAGTCGTAAAACTTAGATCACCTACAGTAATTTATACCGAAGGTCGTGGCTTCTAATAGAATGAACACATTGCTTGACTTCTGCTAAATAAAGTTCAAGGCTTATATAACGCTATTTGAAAATTGCAATTAAGTTATCTTAGATACATGAGAATATATTTTTATTAGAAAATTTATTTTCATTTTGTACATGAAATGTTAGAATCATATTCAAACATTTCAGCTTCTATATTTTTAATATCATTACTCTTACATTTTTTTATTTTTCTTTCTGTTTGGTTTCGTTTTATATAATTTCGAAGGGAGATAATTTGCGTTTTAGACTAAGACTGTTTTTCACCTATGATTGGTAGGCTGCACCGCGGTGGTGTGAATTACCTGGATGGCCAAACCGCGGGGCACACGGTTTTTACCTGAGACACCTGTACTAACGGCGATGAGATTCACACTGCAGGGGGTGCACGGTAAATGCATAAACCGCGTTGACTGTACTGTAGGTGAATAATGAAGGGATTTCTCTCAGTGGAATACAAATTTTAAATTTACCTGCCCAGCACTTGAACACTCGACCAAGTGGTCCAGAATTTCAAAAATCTGGTAAAAATACTCTTGCTTATTACAACTTTGTATTCCTAGATGCTCAGGAGCAATGAAAAAGATTTTCAAACAATAATACATTACCATAGCCCCACCCATCACCAGTACCCCTTGCAATTTCACAATTCTGCAAGAGGCACACTTTCTTATCATTACTATGCACTAGGTTTGTTTGCCTTATAAACAGAAGAAGAAGATTTTTCAAAGAAATAATGTATTTCCACTATACATGTATAATAAATAGAGCCCTGCCTTAGCACCAGAGGCCCTAGACCCAGGAGGCCAAGAAATTCACAATTTTGGATGAGGCACCCCTGCTTATCATAATCACACACTATAATTATGCACTATGCTTGCTAAATACCCAGAGGCAGGGAAGATTTTTAAAGAATTAATGCAATTTCACTATATATTCAACAGGGCCCTGACCTAACACCAAAATCCCTGACCCAGGTACTACGAGTTTTATAAATTTGGAAGAGTTACCCCTGCTTATAAAAAAATATGCACCTAGTTTATCACCTAAATATACAAGGAGACAGAAGAAGTTTTTTTAAAGAATACATGCATTGTCATTTTTACTATATGATCATTAGAGCCCTCCAAAACTTGACCTTGTGGCCATGAATTTCACAATTTTGGTAGAGGGATCAGTATTAAAATATTACAATCATTACCAACAGTTTGACTGCTTGATGTCCAGGGGAGAAAAAGATTTTTAAAAATAGCACTAATTTTGATGGTTTTAGCCCTACCTTTCATGCCCCTGGAAGACAGGGACCATGAAATTCTAAATTTTTGTATCCCTTCACCCATTGATGCCATATGCCAAAATTGGTTGAAATTAGTCCAGTAGTTCAATAAAAGACCCTAAAAATGTTTCCAAGTTTTTTGACTGATGAAAGATGCACTACAGATGAAGACGGACAAAAAACAGATGTTAACTCAACTTATTTAAAAATGCTTAATTACCTTACTAAGCACTAGTTTATCAAGGTCAGGTCATGACATGCCTATATTGGTACGACGTCCATCTGGTCAAAGGTAACCTATTGATAAAAGGATACTTGTATAAATACATGTTTTATATTGTTTGCAGTGAGGAATTACTGTAAACCAACTTTTATTCACATGCTAAAAATAACCAGGAATTTAGCTAACTTCTTTTACTTGCAAATATTTCTTGCAGCAAAATATTTGTTTTAATTATTATTGTGTAATTATGTAAAAAAAAAATTCCTCAGGCACAAATTTAGTCATCAAAGAGAGATTTTAATAAACTGATAAATAGAGAATAAATTTAGTTGTGAACAATAGTTGATTTACAGTTATTTCTAGTATAACAATAGAAATACCTAAGGATGAATTTACATAGTGTTATATCTGACTGCATAGAGGGCCTCATGACATACTTCTGCTCTGGTTTCCAAAAGTGTAGATCCTTTGAGATGAGGTCTTTTCTTGCTGTGTTCTTCCTCTTATCCAGGTGTTTGTCTTCTAGTGGCTCTGTGTGAGGACATAAAACTGAAGAAGATCAGTATACACACAAGCAGAGCATCCCCTCAGGACATCAAATAATGCTACAATAGAGTTAGGACCATTACAGATCATTACTGCTCAGAGCTCACTATGATAAGAAACATATTATATTGCCTACAGTTTTCTTTAATCTGGATAATTTATATAGTTACTTAACATTCACATAGATTACTGTAAATCACTTTTATTTGCGAGAACCTCATCTTAATGTAATTATGCAACACCTTCTAATCACAAAAAAATTATTCTCACTAGTTTTTGTTTACAATTGACAATTTTATAGAGCAATGACTGATTACAGAAAATCATGAAAATTTCACTTCAATTATAAATAGTATCTTGCGAAAATAAGGTTTCCCAAAAATTAAGTTATTGTAACAATTCTCAAATTTGTGTGTTGATAAAATGTATGTTCATTTATTTATTATCTCATATTTAATATAACCAGAAGCTTCATTCATTATTATATGTTTAAAATGTTTTTAATTTGTTGTATGTCATTGCTTTACCTTATAATTCATTCCTGGACCATGTTTATCGTATGTTTTGTACTTCCATTTTTCTCATGTTTCTGGTTGTGGAAATTCATACAAAACTTTTTCATAGAATTAGTTGACCAAATGGGTTGCACAATGTCACGTTTGGTTAGGTTATGCCATATATAAGTGTTTATGTTTAGTGTACAGTCAGAAATACTTTTTGGGGGTGTAACGATACAGCAATACATCGATCATATTGATCGCAAGGGCTGACGATACGCGTATCAAATCACCATGTATCGTGATACAGTACAAGATAATTTTCATTGTTTTGTTTGAAATTTCTACATACAACCTAACAAATTTTAATGTTTTAAAATGGCTGAAAAAAAGGTAACAAAGAAAAAATACAATGTCAAGACTATAAATCCTCCTTTTATTAACTTTGGTAAGGGTTATCAAGATATTCTTTGTATATTTTCTATAACTGTGGAGGTTAGCAAAGAATTATATGTTAAGGTTAATTCAATTGTTGACAGCTGTATCATGATACATGTTGTATTGCATGATATGTATCGTATCGTTAGGTAGTTTGCGATACTCAGGCCTAATGTCTTCGGTCATTACCAGATTTGGGGAGATTAATATTGTAGTTGTTACCAGACTTTTGGAATTTAATACCTTAGTCATTACTACAATGTCAATGTAAGTTACATTTATTTATGTGTTTATTATTTATGAAATTTAATTTTAGAAATTAAAGTTTATTAAAACTTCATCTGAATTTCAAGGGGGGTCCTATAGTAAATCAAGCAAGTGGCATTGCGTGCTCATATATATTCATGTTGTTGTTGATTAGTTATTTATAATAAAAATTGGGATATCATCTGAAACAGAATATAATTTTTAAAACTTTATTTCTTGTTGTTTTGATTCTGTTGTAATAATCCTCTACCAAGTTAATATTTAAGAGACTGGAACATAGCCCCAGGCTTGACCATATAATATTTATAAAAAATTATTTATGCTATCCTTCGAACTCATAAAGACTCAAAGGTAATATTATCTAATAAGCCGGCAATTGCATATATCCTCAGAAATAATGAACAAAACTTTGAAGAATAATAGAGACTAACCTACTAAAAATAAGAATCATGCCAAGTCCTAGGTTTCTCCTTGTTCCATGCTGCTCCTTCTGCTAGCATTCCAGCGCTGAATCCATCGATGACTGTTGCTCTGAAACGAAAGAGCAGAACAAGTGCGAAGGGTGGGGAGGAGGAGGAAGGGTTAGTACTTAGTGGGTGGTGCAAACACAAAACAATGAATGAAGGGAAAACTCTTACCTCACATTTCTTAAGAACTAAGAAATACCTCTTTTCCAGCGATGTTGGCATGCTGTTCCTCCTTATAGACCGCCGCCAGCCCTAGCATTCCAGCGCTGAATCCATCGACGACTGTGGCTCTGAAACGAAAGAGCAGAACAAGTGCGAAGGGTGGGGAGGAGGAGGAGGTGTTAGTACTTAGTGGGTGGTGCAAACACAAAACAATGAATGAAGGGAAAACTCTTACCTCACATTTCTTAAGAACTAAGAAATACCTCTTTTCCAGCGATGTTGGCATGCTGTTCCTCCTTATAGACCGCCGCCAGCCCTAGCATTCCAGCGCTGAATCCATCGACGACTGTGGCTCTGAAACGAAAGAGCAGAACAAGTGCGAAGGGGTGGGAGGAGGAGGGGTTAGTACTTAGTGGGTGGTGCAAACACAAAACAATGAATGAAGGGAAAACTCTTACCTCACATTTCTTAAGAACTAAGAAATACCTCTTTTCCAGCGATGTTGGCATGCTGTTCCTCCTTATAGACCGCCGCCATCCCTAGCATTCCAGCGCTGAATCCATCGACGACTGTGGCTCTGAAACGAAAGAGCAGAACAAGTGCGAAGGGTGGGGAGGAGGAGGAGGTGTTAGTACTTAGTGGGTGGTGCAAACACAAAACAATGAATGAAGGGAAAACTCTTACCTCACATTTCTTAAGAACTAAGAAATACCTCTTTTCCAGCGATGTTGGCATGCTGTTCCTCCTTATAGACCGCCGCCAGCCCTAGCATTCCAGCGCTGAATCCATCGACGACTGTGGCTCTGAAACGAAAGAGCAGAACAAGTGCGAAGGGGTGGGAGGAGGAGGGGTTAGTACTTAGTGGGTGGTGCAAACACAAAACAATGAATGAAGGGAAAACTCTTACCTCACATTTCTTAAGAACTAAGAAATACCTCTTTTCCAGCGATGTTGGCATGCTGTTCCTCCTTATAGACCGCCGCCAGCCCTAGCATTCCAGCGCTGAATCCATCGATGACTGTGGCTCTGAAACGAAAGAGCAGAACAAGTGCGAAGGGTGGGGAGGAGGAGGAGGGGTTAGTACTTAGTGGGTGGTGCAATTACAAAACAATGAATGAAGGGAAAACTCTTACCTCACATTTCTTAAGAACTAAGAAATACCTCTTTTCCAGCGATGTTGGCATGCTGTTCCTCCTTATAGACCGCCGCCAGCCCTAGCATTCCAGCGCTGAATCCATCGACGACTGTGGCTCTGAAACGAAAGAGCAGAACAAGTGCGAAGGGTGGGGAGGAGGAGGAAGGGTTAGTACTTAGTGGGTGGTGCAAACACAAAACAATGAATGAAGGGAAAACTCTTACCTCACATTTCTTAAGAACTAAGAAATACCTCTTTTCCAGCGATGTTGGCATGCTGTTCCTCCTTATAGACCGCCGCCAGCCCTAGCATTCCAGGGCTGAATCCATCGACGACTGTGGCTCTGAAACGAAAGAGCAGAACAAGTGCGAAGGGTGGGGAGGAGGAGGAGGTGTTAGTACTTAGTGGGTGGTGCAAACACAAAACAATGAATGAAGGGAAAACTCTTACCTCACATTTCTTAAGAACTAAGAAATACCTCTTTTCCAGCGATGTTGGCATGCTGTTCCTCCTTATAGACCGCCGCCAGCCCTAGCATTCCAGCGCTGAATCCATCGACGACTGTGGCTCTGAAACGAAAGAGCAGAACAAGTGCGAAGGGGTGGGAGGAGGAGGGGTTAGTACTTAGTGGGTGGTGCAAACACAAAACAATGAATGAAGGGAAAACTCTTACCTCACATTTCTTAAGAACTAAGAAATACCTCTTTTCCAGCGATGTTGGCATGCTGTTCCTCCTTATAGACCGCCGCCAGCCCTAGCATTCCAGCGCTGAATCCATCGACGACTGTGGCTCTGAAACGAAAGAGCAGAACAAGTGCGAAGGGGAGGGAGGAGGAGGGGTTAGTACTTAGTGGGTGGTGCAAACACAAAACAATGAATGAAGGGAAAACTCTTACCTCACATTTCTTAAGAACTAAGAAATACCTCTTTTCCAGCGATGTTGGCATGCTGTTCCTCCTTATAGACCGCCGCCAGCCCTAGCATTCCAGCGCTGAATCCATCGACGACTGTGGTTCTGAAACGAAAGAGCAGAACAAGTGCGAAGGGTGGGGAGGAGGAGGAAGGGTTAGTACTTAGTGGGTGGTGCAAACACAAAACAATGAATGAAGGGAAAACTCTTACCTCACATTTCTTAAGAACTAAGAAATACCTCTTTTCCAGCGATGTTGGCATGCTGTTCCTCCTTATAGACCGCCGCCAGCCCTAGCATTCCAGCGCTGAATCCATCGACGACTGTGGCTCTGAAACGAAAGAGCAGAACAAGTGCGAAGGGTGGGGAGGAGGAGGAGGTGTTAGTACTTAGTGGGTGGTGCAAACACAAAACAATGAATGAAGGGAAAACTCTTACCTCACATTTCTTAAGAACTAAGAAATACCTCTTTTCCAGCGATGTTGGCATGCTGTTCCTCCTTATAGACCGCCGCCAGCCCTAGCATTCCAGCGCTGAATCCATCGACGACTGTGGCTCTGAAACGAAAGAGCAGAACAAGTGCGAAGGGTGGGGAGGAGGAGGAGGTGTTAGTACTTAGTGGGTGGTGCAAACACAAAACAATGAATGAAGGGAAAACTCTTACCTCACATTTCTTAAGAACTAAGAAATACCTCTTTTCCAGCGATGTTGGCATGCTGTTCCTCCTTATAGACCGCCGCCAGCCCTAGCATTCCAGCGCTGAATCCATCGACGACTGTGGCTCTGAAACGAAAGAGCAGAACAAGTGCGAAGGGGAGGGAGGAGGAGGGGTTAGTACTTAGTGGGTGGTGCAAACACAAAACAATGAATGAAGGGAAAACTCTTACCTCACATTTCTTAAGAACTAAGAAATACCTCTTTTCCAGCGATGTTGGCATGCTGTTCCTCCTTATAGACCGCCGCCAGCCCTAGCATTCCAGCGCTGAATCCATCGACGACTGTGGCTCTGAAACGAAAGAGCAGAACAAGTGCGAAGGGTGGGGAGGAGGAGGAGGTGTTAGTACTTAGTGGGTGGTGCAAACACAAAACAATGAATGAAGGGAAAACTCTTACCTCACATTTCTTAAGAACTAAGAAATACCTCTTTTCCAGCGATGTTGGCATGCTGTTCCTCCTTATAGACCGCCGCCAGCCCTAGCATTCCAGCGCTGAATCCATCGACGACTGTGGCTCTGAAACGAAAGAGCAGAACAAGTGCGAAGGGTGGGGAGGAGGAGGAGGGGTTAGTACTTAGTGGGTGGTGCAAACACAAAACAATGAATGAAGGGAAAACTCTTACCTCACATTTCTTAAGAACTAAGAAATACCTCTTTTCCAGCGATGTTGGCATGCTGTTCCTCCTTATAGACCGCCGCCAGCCCTAGCATTCCAGGGCTGAATCCATCGACGACTGTGGCTCTGAAACGAAAGAGCAGAACAAGTGCGAAGGGTGGGGAGGAGGAGGAGGTGTTAGTACTTAGTGGGTGGTGCAAACACAAAACAATGAATGAAGGGAAAACTCTTACCTCACATTTCTTAAGAACTAAGAAATACCTCTTTTCCAGCGATGTTGGCATGCTGTTCCTCCTTATAGACCGCCGCCAGCCCTAGCATTCCAGCGCTGAATCCATCGACGACTGTGGCTCTGAAACGAAAGAGCAGAACAAGTGCGAAGGGGTGGGAGGAGGAGGGGTTAGTACTTAGTGGGTGGTGCAAACACAAAACAATGAATGAAGGGAAAACTCTTACCTCACATTTCTTAAGAACTAAGAAATACCTCTTTTCCAGCGATGTTGGCATGCTGTTCCTCCTTATAGACCGCCGCCAGCCCTAGCATTCCAGCGCTGAATCCATCGACGACTGTGGCTCTGAAACGAAAGAGCAGAACAAGTGCGAAGGGGAGGGAGGAGGAGGGGTTAGTACTTAGTGGGTGGTGCAAACACAAAACAATGAATGAAGGGAAAACTCTTACCTCACATTTCTTAAGAACTAAGAAATACCTCTTTTCCAGCGATGTTGGCATGCTGTTCCTCCTTATAGACCGCCGCCAGCCCTAGCATTCCAGCGCTGAATCCATCGACGACTGTGGTTCTGAAACGAAAGAGCAGAACAAGTGCGAAGGGTGGGGAGGAGGAGGAAGGGTTAGTACTTAGTGGGTGGTGCAAACACAAAACAATGAATGAAGGGAAAACTCTTACCTCACATTTCTTAAGAACTAAGAAATACCTCTTTTCCAGCGATGTTGGCATGCTGTTCCTCCTTATAGACCGCCGCCAGCCCTAGCATTCCAGCGCTGAATCCATTGACGACTGTGGCTCTGAAACGAAAGAGCAGAACAAGTGCGAAGGGTGGGGAGGAGGAGGAGGTGTTAGTACTTAGTGGGTGGTGCAAACACAAAACAATGAATGAAGGGAAAACTCTTACCTCACATTTCTTAAGAACTAAGAAATACCTCTTTTCCAGCGATGTTGGCATGCTGTTCCTCCTTATAGACCGCCGCCAGCCCTAGCATTCCAGCGCTGAATCCATCGACGACTGTGGCTCTGAAACGAAAGAGCAGAACAAGTGCGAAGGGTGGGGAGGAGGAGGAGGTGTTAGTACTTAGTGGGTGGTGCAAACACAAAACAATGAATGAAGGGAAAACTCTTACCTCACATTTCTTAAGAACTAAGAAATACCTCTTTTCCAGCGATGTTGGCATGCTGTTCCTCCTTATAGACCGCCGCCAGCCCTAGCATTCCAGCGCTGAATCCATCGACGACTGTGGCTCTGAAACGAAAGAGCAGAACAAGTGCGAAGGGGAGGGAGGAGGAGGGGTTAGTACTTAGTGGGTGGTGCAAACACAAAACAATGAATGAAGGGAAAACTCTTACCTCACATTTCTTAAGAACTAAGAAATACCTCTTTTCCAGCGATGTTGGCA